TATCCAGACAGGCCTGTGGAGACAACATGCATAAAAACAAGACAGAGCAAAACCAAGCAACACTGTACAACAAAACAGCAACAACATGATTGATCTTTTAAAGCACACATCTGACCATATCACCCTCTAACTCAAAACTCATTAATGATATCTCAGTTCAGTTAGAGATGGCAATGTTTGGTCCACTCAAAATCCTCCCCTCATTCTGAGATTAGAGATATCACAAGCATTGATCTGACCTAAGAATCCTTCTCACTGTAGCATGCTCAGCAGCCGTTACTAATTGATATGGATTGGCACTGAGATGAAACCTTATTAAATCCTTGGCTCACAGGATTACCGTAAATTCAAACTCAGTTTAACACACAAGACCCTTTGTGGTTTGAATGAGCTTATCTTTCTAGCCTTGTATCCTGCCACTCCCAATCCCCTTCCTGTCCATGTCTTTCCTCATAACTCAGTTTAAATACACCCCTGGGCTGAGTCTTTCAGATGAATTGTTCTCTGTGCACTTCTTAGCACTGTGCACACACACGTGTGCTGTCACCCTATTATCTTCTGAAGTGACTGTACCGTTTTACAATTCCACCAGCAATGGATGAGTGTTTCAAATTCTCTGCATCCTCAGCAACACTTTTTATATTTATATTTTCTGTCTTTTATTATAGCCATCCTAGGGTTTGTACAGTGGTATCGCATTGTGGTCTTGATTTGCATTTCCATAACAGCTAATCACGTTGAACATCTTTTCATCTGCTCCTTGGCCACCTATATAGCTTCTTTCGTCATTTCCCCCCCACCCCCTCTTCATTTTTTTATTGAGTTGTCTTTTATTGTTAGATTGTAAATTCTGGATACAAGTCCCTTAACAGACTCACCATTTGCAAATATTTTTCTCCCATTCTGTCAGTTCTCTTTTTACTTCCTCCATGGAAATGTTTGCAGCAGAAACCATTATCTGATCCAAGGTAACAAAGGTTTATTCCGACAGTTTCTTTTAAGAGTTTTATAGTTTTAACTTACATGTAGGATTCTAATTCACTTTGAGTCAATTTACATTTTTTAAGTCATTTCTTTGGACTGAATAAAGTCTTTCACTTTTCCTACTGAGATGATGAAGACAGGGTGATCTCTACTGTGGCAGCTGAAATTTGTATAGAAAAGAAGCTGAGAGGAAGAATGATGAACCAAAAGCTGTGACAAATTTAGAAGATTAGAACCTGATCTCAAGTATTCTAATACTCACTACCAACGTGAATGTTAGTTTAACTCTGTCCCATTTCACTAGTTCAAAATGTTATGAAGTGCCAGAGACTCCCTTAGAACTCAGCTTATGTAGTGTGTTAGCTGTTAGTTGATAAGCGCTCTTATCAACTACTTGTTTCTTTCCCACAGGAGTCTCTCTTTTTGGCTTATCTGCTCTGTTGATCCCTGGGAACTTTGAGTCTCATTTGGAACTCCTGAAGGCCCTGTGTTTGGGCCCAGCACTGATCTACACAGCTAAGTTTGCACTTGTCTCACCTCTCATGTATCACACCTGGAATGGCCTACGGCATTTGGTAAGTTAATTGTGCATTTGCACATCATCTGGGTGAAGGGGATGGGGAGGCTGAGTTAGATCTTTTCCCTCCGCACATAGTGCTGTACTTCAGGTTAGTTGTGCTGAATTTTACTCAGGGACCTCTTGAGGAAAGATAAACAATATCTTCTGTACATTCCTTGGCAGCCCTGCAGGTGGGGGTACAGCTGAACAGTGGGTGCAGACCAGGTTTTCAGTGTAAATAAATTGTGGGGGACCAGCTTCCCTCCAACCAATTGGGTCCAAGGGGTGGTTGTATGATTGAGGAGTAAATTAAAGAGACACGAGACAAGGCATGCAAGAGCTTACCTCTTCAATGGCTACCAGAAGCCGAATGAGGCAGTAATGTATTCTCTCACGAGCTTATATAATCTCAGCCATGCAAGCCACAGTAAGCACATACTTAACAGGAAGGGGTTGTGTTAGAGGCATACATATAACATGAGGGGGATGAGCTAGGGGTATACATGCAATAGGAAGGGGAGGCCCTAGAGGCATACATGTAACAGGAAGGTACATAGGAAACAAGATGGGTGGAGATGGCAACCTAACCTTCCTTGTCCTTGAGCTGGCTTGACTTTAAATGCCTCTGAGCTCTTCTCCAAGGGAGCAATCTATGATCCTTATCAGAAGGGAATGGACCATAGTTAGGGTCAGACAGACGGTAGGATCTCATTGCTCTCAAGGGCAGACAATCTTCAAGCAAGTAAGCTTTTAAGCAGTTGACCTTCAAGCCTATGTAGTAGCAACCATATGCTTGCAAGTAGCACCTTAAATTTGGCTAATATTATTGGGGGGTAAGGGGGTGAGTGGAATGGGATGGGACATCGTGGGGAATAACTTTTACTTAGGAGAATGTGACTGGAAGGCCTCTCCAACCCACTAACATGAAGGTCTCCCTCCATGGGAACCCTAGCCTCCCATACTCCTTAATGTATGAACATAGAGAATTTGGCCGTACACTCTTCCCACTTCTGTTTCCCACAATAAACTCTTTCAGTTAAAAGGATATTACTAAAAGAGACCCTAGAATAGAAGACATTTGTAATGCAAATATTAATTACTACCTGTAATATGTGAAGCACTGTTCTTGACCCTAGGAATTCAGTCATGAGCTTAATAAAACATTGTTGCTGCTTTCAGTCTAACATTCTTGGCAACCCCCAGAGGGTCTCCTCAGATTAAAGATATTAATTTTTGTTATCAGGATGTTGGACTTGTTATGTGCGTGTGTGTGTGTGTGTGTGTTAAGTTATTGGAGAAATTGGGCCAACTTTAACAGAAATTGGGTAATTTTGCCAATTTGACTTTTTGTAACTTACACAGCAGAGCCTAGAGACTCGTGTTTTCTGAATTTCAGTCTGGTCCTATAGACAGTTTAATGGAATCAAGAAAATGAGAGGCTAAACAACCCGTTAAATGAAGTGTATCTATCAACTCTTCCCTAGGGCAGTGTTCAGTTTAATTTAAAGTGACTTTCACTCCCCGAGGGGGAGAAGTTAGAGAGGGAGGGCATTTCCATTAGTGACTTCTTATTCCACACAACATTCTAATGAAAATCAGCTGATCAGCTAGCTTCCTGTGTTAGCATCCTGGCTCAGGAGAGGACTTGCCAACAATTTGCTTTTGTCTGAATAGTAGGGGGCTTTTACATAACCCCAGAACTCAGCCTAAAATTTGCCATGGATTTTGAATCAATGGGTATAAAAGTGCATAGCTAACAACAATTAAATAAGAGAAAATATAGATTGCAGCACATATAATAAAGATAAATAGTGCTATTTCATGAATGTTCTATCTACTGGATTCTTTTTTTTTTCTACTGTTTTCTTAATAAAGTAGATTATTTGAGAACTCTTACCAAGTTTTTGACCACAGAATTTCTCCCCCTCATGTAATGCCTTCATCGTCCTGAGGAACAGGATTTGGAGGACTGTACTTTGGGAAACTGCTATGGATATGTTGTCCTGGAGAATAGTTCTATCTTTTTAGTGTGGAAGCTTTTGTAAGTAGGAGCTCAGTATACCTTTGTAGTCACTGGGTAAGTGAGTGGTAGGGCCTATGGGCTTTGAGAGGGGTGATGCTGAGACATAAGGGTAGATGTGTTTTTCTCCAAATTATGCTGAAAGGAATTAACTGTCTAACAAGTGGAATTCCTTTCGGAAGAAGGAGCTGTGAGTGTGACCAGGACTCCAATTGCTGAACTTCTTTCTCTTTTCTTTGCTTTTTCACAGATGTGGGACCTGGGGAAAGGCCTGAAGATCCCCCAGCTCTACCAGTCTGGAGTAGTTGTCTTGGTTCTCACTGTGTTATCCTCTCTGGGACTGGCGGCCATGTAAGAAGTTGAGAGTCCCAACATCTTCCTATAAATCATTACATAGATCTGACTTCCTGGTTGTTTGTCCTGTCTCCAGCCAGAGCAAAAGTCTCCTGATTTGATTAAACTTTTTTGTGCTTGCAAATCCCCTCAGAGCTCAGTAATAGTAGGGAACTTTGTGAAACCAGCGTAATGGAAAGGTGTGCCATTTCCCCCTCGTTTCTAAAGACGGAGTGGCAGCAACAACTCCCGTTTCCTGCTCTCAGCTTAGAGCCCACTGTGGGCCTGGGGACCTTGAATCTCTCTCCACATTGAACTGTGATTTGTGCTGAGGGTCAGCTTTTGGCTCCGTCTTCCTGAGACAGTGGAAACAATGCCAGCTCTGTGGCCTTCACCCTAGGGGCGGGGGTAGGGGGGGGGTAGGGCTTTGGGTGCCACTGCCTGTGGGTTGCTGGCTTAAAGGACAATTCTATTCATTGGTCAGAACCCAGGGTCTTTAGTGCCCACACACTGTGACTGAAAGAAGAGGGGGAGGGGGGGTGGGAGGAGAGGAGAGGAGTTGGGGAGGGAATCAACTGGTCCCAGCTAGAGGGAGAATGGGAGGGCGAGTTGGCTCTGGGAACAGGTGCTTTGCGGGAGAAGGCATACAGCCTTAGATGCAAGAGGAAGAGCCACCAAACATTGTCATTGAACTTAAGAGTTTGCTTGTTTTTCTATTCTTGCATTTCCAGGAAACAAACTTCTTAATGTTATGTTTTCTAATTCAAGGTCATGTGACATTTCTTTCTGAAACGGAATTAAAATATTCACTTTGTCTTTGACTCTCCTTGAAATCTAGAGAAACAGGAAATTGGTGATTGCAGGGTGGGGGGTGGGGGGTCAGTTTCTTCCTCCCCTCCCTCTGCCCTCAGGTATTCACACCCCATCCCCAATCTTACCTTTCACAGGAGGAAGAAATTGTCTTGCACCTGATCACTGAAACATTTTCAAGGAATCAAGTATAAGTAGCCAGAGAATTAAATATCACATAGAAGCCCAGAGAAGGAATAAGAAAAAGGAAGTTAAGAATGTGGAGAGCCATTGGGGTTATGTATTATAGGCTCCAAAACCTCATTGACAACAATGAGCAGGCACATGGTCTTGTTCAGCAATTATGGTTCTATGAGGGAGGCAGGGGAGTAGTGGAGGTAAAAGCTAACGGATGTGTATGTAGAAAGGAGAGGAGATACGAAAGGAAGGATGGTTGAAAACCTGGCAAAAATTGAATAAGAAATTTTGCTAAGTTTATAATTCATATTGGCCAAACTTCTGAGCACCTAACTCAGTAGGACTACTATTTTGATAGTCTTTGGAACCTGGGTTGACAGATCCATCTTAACCTGTCACTGATTTGTTGGCCATCCAGGTTGCTACCCTAGGTTGGACGGCCCTACTTCAGCTAAGATAGGGCCTTCTGCTGTCTGAACAGCCTTTCTACTTGAGCCCTTGGTATCAGCTCCTCGTTTTTTTTAACCTCCCTTCTTCATGAACCCTTTATAATTTATATATATATATATATAATTTTTTTTTTTTGTTCTTGTCTTACACTGACCACTATCTTCCTTCACCCACTTTTCTGTTGTTCGTCTTCTACACACTACTAGGATACTGTCTTCTACTTTGGTTTCCTCCACCTTCTCTTTTCCATCTTTTCCAGATACACTTCTCAGCTAAACCATTGTACTTCTGACTTGGAAGTTGTAATGTGTATGCTCTCCTCCAAGGTCACTTCCCTTCACTGGGGTTGGGTACAGATAGCCTAGAACAGGGGTCCTCAAACTATGGCCCTTGGGCCACATGCCGCCGAGGACATTTATCCGGCCTGCGGGTGTTTTTGCCCCGTTTGTTTTTTCACTTCAAAATAAGATATGTGGGGGGAAAAAGAAAAGATGTGTGCAGTGTGCCTAGGAATTTGTTCATAGGTTGTTTTTTTTTAAACTATAGTGCGGCCCTCCAACAGGTCTGAGGGACAGTGAACTGGCCCCTGTTTAAAAAGTTTGAGGACCCCTGGCCTAGAAGTTGGGGATCTTTCCTTTTCACAACTGTAGGCCAAGCCCAGAATGGAGGGAAGGGGAGGGAGGCTTGTTCTTTGAGGTTCTACCCTTTTGCTGTGATTCTGAGCAGCATCTTTTTGAACATTTCAGAAGTACAGAATGACAGTCCATCCTTGCAGAAACCTGAACCATCATGATCATGATCTTCCTTATTCTGTTAACCCCAAACCTTCCAAGGATGGATTATAAGCGACAGCCACAGCAGAAAGAAAATCCAGAGCAGTAGAAGATTCAACAATGTTTATTTTTTAAATTTCCTTTGCTTCCACCCCACAATGACCATATTCCTTCACATTCCTGACCTGGGGAAGTGGGGTGAGAGGTATGGTCTTGCTTACTCCACTCAATCTTTAGATACGTTTTCTTTCTCAGTGTGGCCTAGAATCCCTTCTGGAGCCCCAGGTTTGCATTTGGGGCTCTCGGTGAGAGTGGGTCCTTGCCAGCGTTCCAGTGAACACGGGCTCCCAGGGGCACTGTTAGGAGTGGTGGGTGGATTTTGGAGAGCTGGAGTGTGACCTGCAGACGGATGTGGGCTTTGGAGTTGCTCGGGGGAATTGCAGTTTGCGGCTGGGGAGTTTGGGATTATGGTTGTATTTGGTGCTTGCTGCACGGTCTTTGTCATAGTCTTCTTCCCGAGTTTCTTCTGACCGTCTGGATCATGAGGCTGCCATGGGTGGAGTGGAAGAGACAGTTAGGTTTCTGGGCAAGCCCATATTCCCAGTCCAGCTTGGAATTCTAACTTACTTTCTAGCCAAACCATGGGCAAAAGTTCAGATTTCAGGTAAGAGTTCAATCTGATCTACCTAAATGTTTCATAAGGAGCCCTATTAAGTGAGAGGAGGGGGCAGGGAACAGAGGCTGGGGGAGCCCTGGTGGTACAGTTGTTAAGCACCCAACTGTTAACTGAAAGTTAACACAATCTGCTCAGAGAGGAAAACTAGCAATTGGCTCCCATGAGGATCACAGCCTAGAAAATCCTGTGGACATCGCTACTCTGACATATCTGACATTCAGGGCCACAAATCACACTCAGCTTGACAGAACACGAACTACTTCTGGTGAGATCATTACACCCCCCCAGCCCCACCCCCCTGAAGTGTTCTTCAGGCTTCAAAAAAGTGATTAGGGATTAGACAAGAGAAGACAGAGCTGGTTAGAGGTGCCCCCTGCTGGGGTAGTGGTGGTATAATAATAGGCCATTTTAAGATTGAAAAAAAAGTGAGAGAATAGGGTTTGGGATTAGGTGGGAGGAATATATAGATACCTTGCCTAAGATTTCAGGACATAGTCCATTGGAGGCCTTCAGCAAATCAGGATTTTTCTGTATCCATTTGGTGAGGGAGGCAGCACTAGCCATGGTACGTGAGGTCAGAGTCACCCGAGCAGGAGGTATCTTCAGAGGCATTTGCCAGGTACCCATGAAGGAACCCCAAGGACTTGCCTAAAAGGAAAAAGACAAGGCTTCTGACTGCCAGTATCTGACCTGGCAGGGCCTCTAGTCATCTGATTTCTAGCCTTTGCTTAGGAAATGCATTGTAATAGGAGACGACTGAATGAATCCCCTGCCACCCACCCCGCTTTCATTTAGGTTCTTCCCATTTTTTTATGAGGATCCCTGGTGGTATAGTGGTTACATGTTGGGCGGTGATCCGAATGGTGGCTCAAACTTACCACCAAGCTTCTTGGGAGAAAGTTGGGCTTTCTTATCCCATAAACATTTAAGGTCTCGGGGTCACTGAGTCAGTATTGACTTGATGGCAGTGAGTTTGTTTTTTATTTATTTTTTGGAGAATGTTTTTATCCCCTGTCTCTGCTTGCTTAAACACTATCCTTAAACTTACTTTGGTAAATTATCTACTGCATAAATATCTGAAGGCAATTTTTTTCGACAGGTTCTGTTTCATCTGGTGTTAGGCACAACTCTTTGCTGATGAACTGGTCAGAAATCTGGGGCATGCATTCTCCAGTGCAAAATAGAATGAATTTCTATTTTCCATGCAATGGCTGTGAGAGATCGCAAATCTACCCTATTGTGATAGAAATGGGGATGGGTATCTCACCTTGGAGCGGGGCACTGAAGGTAACAGGTGACCTCGATCATCGGCGATAATCTGAGTATAGCCTTCATGGGAAGAAATGCTCTGGGGTAGAGATGAGAGTAGTACTTAGGAAAATAGAATGAAGTGGGAGGAAGGACCCAAGAGGCTTGAATTAAACCAGGGAAGAGAGAAGTGGTTGATGGAAAGCTAAAAGGAGTTCTGTCCCTGGGAGTTAACAGAGGACATGACAAAGGATAAGGAATTGGCCTTGTGGGTGCACGGAATACCTCTTTTGTTGACTTGCTGGGAGACCAGTTCTGCAGATACTTGGATGAGAAAGCTTTTTCATACTGTGGAGAGAGAGAACCCTTGTGAGGATTAGAGGCCCCAAGCCCAGGTGAGGACCAAACACGCAAGGCTTCAACTCACTGGAGAAAGATGTCATTTATGTGGTCTTAGAAGTACACTCTCTAGTGTAATGGATGCTAGACATGTGACAATTGATTACTTGAAGTATCACTAGCCTCAAAGAGGTTCTCTCTAGGTGTAAAATATGTACTAGATTTTGAAGATTTAATAACCAAGGGGAGAAAAAAAGTATATATTTAATGTATACTTTTACAACTTGATTACATGTTAAATAATACAGGATTAAATATATTATTATTTTTTTAATCATTTTATTAGAGGCTCATACAACTCATCACAATTGTGTAAAGCACATTTGTACATTCATTGCCCTATTTTCATCTTGTGTAGCTACTAGAAAACATTTGTGGCTCACATTTTATTTAATTGAAGCAGTGGGTTAGTAAACTGGCTTATGGACTAAATCCATGCTGCTACCGATGTTCAGATGGCCTATCAACTGAACATGTTTTTTATGGGTGAATATTTACAATCAGTTTGATGAAAGGGAACACTAACTTTTTTTTGTAACTTTAAACAAATTTTTATTAGAAAAAGACTCACATTAATTGGTTATTTCTCTACTTTGTGCACAATTATTCTTACTACACAGAAAGGCTGCTTTTTAAATTCATCTAGTGATGGGAAGAACTCAAATCCTGATTTTAACAGACTAGTGATTTAAGTTGAAAGCAATGCATCCCTCCCCAAGACCCCTTTGCAAGGGGGTCTCCAGTGGCCTGCAAATGGGCTTTGGGTCTCCACTCTGCACTCCCCCCCCCCTTTCACTATGGTGAGATTTTTTTGTTCTTACACACCTGTACCAGGACTGTACAATGAGTTTTTCTTCCAAAATACAAAGTAAATTATCTGCAGGCATGGATAGTGGCAGCAGTAAACCATTACATATTGTCAGCTGTAACTAGTAACTTCCCTTTGTGGGCCATCACTGAAAAATTATTTTGTGAATTTTGTTAAGAATCTGCATTATATCTGGCTTTGTCACTTGGCCTGTACAACCGAAAATATTTACTATCTGCCCTTTGACAGAAAGCACTTTAGTGACCCCTAGTCTAAACCCCACCGCCAGTCTAAAGCTCCAGTCTAAACCCCAACCCAGAGATGCCTTGCTAGTCTGTGGCCTCCCTACTCTGAGTAGCTAAAACTATTCAGTGATCACTATCCTGTGCACAGGGTCAGCCACAAGGTAGATCTGGAAGGCAAATTTAAATATTGAGAACTTACCTGGTTAGCACTGTAGTTAGTAGCCATGATCCTGCTACTTCTGCTGTTTACCCTTGTTACCTGGCAACCTCAGAAGGCAACCAATCCAGCACTACCACCCAATCAGCAAGGGCTGCCTTTCTCTTCTACCTCTGTAATTCACTTCCTTAGTTGACACTGTCTCTACCCTCATTCCTCAAGAGACTTAGGTTCATTGTCATTTTAGAGGGGACAATAAAAATGAGAAAATTAGCTAAATTTCAGCCGAATTTCTTTTTCTAGCACAACTTAACCCTTACTTAAGAACTTCTGAGTTGTCTCTGGAGGCCTTAAGGAGCCCTGGGACCCTAAAGGCTTTAAGGGACCCTTGGGAAGTGTGGTGAAGCCAGAGTTCTGAACTGGTTCATTCCTGCATGACTCCCTGCCAAGAATTTATCTTCCCCAGATAATCTGAATTAGAAGCTACATTTTAACCAAATACCCAGGTGGAAATCAGTACATTAGGGGTGGAAGTGCACATTCTTAGCAGGGGGTTGAATCTGCATGAGCCTATTTTAAAGCCCCTTCCTACTTTCCTTTTTTTTTTTTTATCATTTTATTAGGGATTCATACAACTCTTATCAAATCTATACATCAATTGTGTAAAGCACATTTGTACATTTCATTGCCTTCATCATTCTCAAAACATTTGCTCTCCACTTAAGCCCCTGGTATCAGGTCCTCATTTTTTCCCATCCCTGTCCGCTCCCCCCCTCCCGCATGAGTCCTTGATGATTTATAAATTATTATTTTATCATATCTTGCCCTGTCCGACGTCTCCCTTCACCCACTTTTCTGTTGTCCGTCCCCCAGGGAGAAAGTCACATGTAGATTTAGATCCTTGTAATCGGTTCCCCCTTTCCAACCCACTCTCCCTCTACACTCCCAGTTTCGCCACTCACATCACTGGTCCTGAAGGGATTATCCGCCCTGGATTCCCTGTGTTTCCAGTTCCTATCTACCAGTGTACATCCTCTGGTCTAGCCAGACTTGCAAGGTAGAATTTGGATCATGATGGGGGGGCGGTGCGGTGCCGTGCGGAAGCATTTAGGAACTAGAGGACAGTTGTATTTTTCATCGTTGCTACATTGCACCCTGACTGGCTTGTCTCCTCCCCAAGACCCCTCTGCAAGGGGCTCTCCAGTGCCCTACAAATGGGCTTTCAGTCTCCACTCTGCACTCCCCCCTCATTCACTATGGTAAGATTTTTTTGTTCTGATGATGCCTTATACCTGATACCTTGGACACTTCGTGATCGCACAGGCTGGTGTGCTTCTTCCATGTGGGCTTTGTTGCTTCTGAGCT